GGCGGGCCTGCAGCTTGCGTGCTCCATCTGCTGGCTGCTGAGCCCGGGTCTCGCGCGCCTGNGCGTTGGCCGGGTTGTGCGGATTCATCGAGTTCGATGGAGCGCCATCCGCGTGGCGGGGGTGAGGTTCTTGATCTCGTGAATCGGGATGTTCTGGCGCTGGGCGGCGGTGATGAGGAGCTGCTGCTGCTGTGCCTGGGGCAGCGCCGCCGGGTTCCACGCGGGCTGGCCCATCGGCCGGCCGTTGAGGGCCGCAGGGTCGATGGGCGCGCCGGCGACCGTGATCGTCGGGAAACGTCCCGCGTTGTCGGGCGCCTGGTAGGCAGCCTCCAGGGCCTCGCCCTTGCGCGTGGCCTCGACGAGGCGCTGCATCTGTCGAGACTCCTGGTACTCGAAGTAGGCCGTCGCCTCAGAGCTGCCGCGGCCGGTGCGGGCAGCGAAGACGTCCCAGAAGATAGCCCAGTATCTGCGACGGACGGATCAAGGAGGACGGTGGGCACTCGGCGTCAGGGTCAGCGGCTGTGCTTTTTCGGTGGCGAGAGAGGGCCAGAGGAGCGCACTTCCGGTCCGTGCATACTCACTCAAAAAGCAGCCCCTGCGGCGTCTTGAGAGGCACCTCGGGCGGCTCGGCCATGCCGGCCTCGTTCATGAGGGCCTTGGCGGCTCCTCCAAAGCCTCGGCGGGTGAGGTAGTCCCAGACGTACACGTCCAGCCTGCGAACGCCATCGTGCAAGAACGTCGGAATCGTGGTCAGAAGTCGTTCCGGGAAGTGGGCGCTCATGGCCCGCAGCATAGGATTTGCAACGAGCGGGCTGCTCTCAACTCACTTGGTCGCCTCCTCGCCCCAGGCCCTCGACTCTGAGCCCGAGGCGGACTGGTCCTTTTTCATGGAAGGGCTCTGGCCGGCGTCGTCGGGTCGGGAGCGCTTGTTGCCGTCGCCCTCGGGGCTGTTGCTGGCGTTTCGCTTCCGCATCCCGATACCGCTTGCACCGGCGCCGAGGTTGCCCACCTTGCCCTTCTGACCTCCGTTGTTGCCCTGAGCAGCAGACATATTTGAAGGCGCTGGCGATGGGTTGCCAAACGCCTGCGAGGCGCCGTAGGGCTGCGGTGGATAGATGGTCGCACCGGCGGGAGCGTTCTGTTGCTGTTGCTGCTGAGTTTGCTGCTGCTGCTGCTGCTGCTGTTGCTGCTCCTGCTGCTGCTGGAGGCGGTTCTGCTGCTGCTGCTGCTGTGGCTGGCCGTTGTACATGCCCAGCATCTGCCCCTGGTTCTGAGGTAGCTGCTGCTGCTGCTGGAACGGTGGTTTGCTCGGGCCAGCAATGTTGCCCGCAGACATTTGCTGTTGGGATGCGGGGCGAAGCACGGTCGGCGACGGGACGGGATCAGTAACGAAGCGGGCCAGGCTGGTTGCACGGATGGGGGGAGCCGCTTGCTACGACGTGGCTCACACTACTGTTGAAGCCCGAAGGCCAACCCCAGGCGTTGACTTGGCCTCTCGGGGTGTTGCTGTTGGCAAGCTGGTCGGGGGCACCGGAACCAGGCGAGTGGGCAGGAGGCTGCAGTTGGGAGTGCTGGAGCTGGTGCGAAAGATGCTGCTGCTGCTGCTGCTGCTGCTGCTGCTGCTGCTGCTGCTGCTGGTGTTGTTGTTGCAGGTGGTGCGGATGCTGCTGCTGCTGCTGCGGGTGCTGGTGCAGTTGCTGGTGCGGGGCGTGGTGCGGGTGCTGCTGCTGATGGCTGGCGATGAAGCTTGGCGTCTGGGATGCTGTTGCTGGACCGCTCATTCCGCTGGTCAAGCCACCTGCACGATCGCCGGCTGGGAGACGAGGCGATCTGCGGGCAGCGACGAGCAGCTGCGGGGTTGGAGGCTACGGATCGGGATTAAGGAAGCAGCAGGGCAGGGTGGCGCCGCGGGCGAGATGGAAGGTTGGCCGAGATTCCGGAGACAGTCGCTGGTCTTGGCTCCAGGTCTTTGGCCCGGCAGCTCCTGGGCGGGGACGGCGAGTCGACACGGCAGGTTGAGATCGTAGCGGGACGCGAACGATGCACTCTCGGGTGGAGGTCGAAGGGGGAGGGTATACCTTGTCCAGGTCTCGATTGCGACGAGAAGAAGCGTGAATGAATCCGTCGCTGGGCGAGGACAATACGGTCGCGGGTGGTAGGCAGCGGCAAAGGTGTTGTGATGAGACGCCGTGCAGGCGATGCGCGAAGGCGTGGAGAGCGAGGCGTGGTTTGTGCGACGTTCGACGAGGGGCGCGACAGAATGAGCAGCACGCAACAGCCGGAGCGGGTTGGGGTGGACCAATGGGCGGCGGCGGCGGTTGGTCGTCGGAAGCAGTAGTAGTGATGGATGGCGGTCGAGGGGGCGCGAAATTGGCGGCCACGAGGGATGCTCGCGGAGAGCCAGCAGGACGATGAAGATAGGTGGCTGCAGGCGACGCGGGCGAGCGAGGTGGTGCAGGAATAGCCGAAGAAGTTGATAGGTATTGTGGGGGAAAGGGGGGCGGAAGGTAGAGGGGAGGAGGGAGTAGTGTCAAGCACGAAGGGTGACGGGGTGAATATTGCGGATGGAGGAGGTAGGAGGAAGCAAGCCAGGTGGGGAGGACGGCGGCAACGGTGACGGCGGCGGCGGCGGCGGCGGCGGCGGCGGCGGCGGCGGCGGCGAGGATGCGAGCGAGGCGAAGGCAGGCCGCGAAGGTGGACGTCGCGAACGCAGCCAGGCAAAGCGGGCAGCCAGGCAGGCAGCTCAGGCAGCCAGGCAGGCAGGCACCCACGACGATG